AAGCTATTGGCACAGACAAACATATCTCAAATAAGACTCTAATAGCTCAGGAAATAGCAAGAACTGATAAATGGGATTACATCAAATTTAAAAGTCTCTACACAACAAAGGAAACAATCAACAGAGTGAAGAGACAACCCAGTGGGAGGAAAATCTTTGCCAACTAATTAATCTGACAGAGCATTAATATCCAGAATACATAAAGAACTAGAAAAATCTAACACCAAAAGAATAAGTAATCCAATCAGTAAATGGGCAAATGAGCTTAAACAGATACTTCTCAGAAGAATAAAAAAATCACCAGTAAACATAAAAGTGCTCAGCCAGGCACAGTGGGATAGGCCTGTAATCCCAGTGGCTAGGAAGGCTGAGGTAGAAGGATCACAAGTTCAAAGCCAGCCTCGGCAACTGAGTGAGGCCATAAGTAACTTAGTAAGATGCTGTCTCAAAAGATAAAAAGGGCTGTGATGTGTTTCAGTGATAAAGCACCCCTGGGTCAATCCCCAGTACAAAAAAAAAAAAAAAGTGGTATTACATTAGTTATCAGGAACCAAATTTTTCAATACAAAAGACAAAAAATAATCAAAGAAAGTTACATAAAAGTTTTGTAATCAGGGGTTATATAGGAAACATCTATATCTCCATTTTGCTGAGAACATAGAACTGATGTAAAAATTAAAGTCTATTTTAAAAACCTATAATCTGCCATTTGAATTGGAAATACTAGGATGCACTTAACATTTTCTCCCCACCCCCTTTCTAAACAAGTATTTTATTTCCTAGCAATACCCAATGCAAGAGCTTAGAAATGATACTAGCCAGGAGCAAGCTAATTTAAGCAATCTAACCTAGTAGTGATCTAGCACCTAAACTATGATCTCTAAATATTTCTCCTTACAGGAACCAGGACGACTTCATAAAGTTAATCTAAACCAGTGGTAGAATATGTAAAAAATAAGCCAAAAACTATCTAAAAAAATTATGGTCACTGTTGAGGGCTGCGAATCAAGTCAAGATGGCGCCTGGCAGTTTGCCAGGAGGAGTGGTTTGTGAGGCAACGCCACCGAGCCATTAAGATGATGGAGATTTTTTATTGGCTGACTGCTGTATCTGGATGATGCTAATTGAGTCAAGCTATGTGTAATTAGTTAGGTATATATACCGCTGTTATTCCGTAATAAAGCAGTTCCTGTTTCAACCTTCAAGTTGCTTGTCACCTCCTGGTTACTTTGCCCAGCCAGACTGTGGCAGGTCACATCACAATAACAGATGCCAGTTTGAAGGGACTCCAACTGGCTAAGATGGAATATTTTGGTGCAACCATTTTGGAAAGCAATACTGAGATTCCTCAGAAAACTTGAAATGGAACCACTATTTGACCCACTCCTTTGTAGAGAGCCGTCCATGGGCTGTGCGTGGACTGTGTTACATCATAGCCTAATGATGGGGTAAGTCTGGCATTGGGAACCTCCCATGGCACCCCCACAGGGATTGACTGCCTGATGTAGGTGAACTTCCCCCTCAAGCTCTGCCAAAGATCCCACTCAGCACCTGAGATGGGTGTGACCTGCCAAAATGTTAATCAACCTACTGACTGCAAGACATCAGAAGCAAGACTCTGCCCTTGAAACCTTACCCCTACCTTTGATGAACCCCCTTAAATAAACCACAGGAGCCATCTTTTCTTTGTCTAGTTCCAGCACCCTTGTGGACTAGATCTATCAGGGGCTTCGCTTATGTAAATATATTTCTGACTATTTGTGTTTTGTTCTTCACTAATTATTTACGACTTCAAGTTTTAGGGTGGCTTACACCCTCCTCGGCAGGAAGAACCCCCCCAATGAGACACTGGCCATCACCCCTGTTACTCCTCGGTTTATACCTAAAGGAATTCATATCAGCATAGTACAGTGACACAACCACATCAATGTTTATAGCAGCTCAATTCACAATTGCCAAACTAAGGAACCAACCTAGATGCCCTTCAACAGATGAACAGATAAAGAAAATGTGGTATATATACACAATAGAGTATTACTCAGCCTTAAAGAAGAATGAAATGATGGTATTTGCAGGTAAATAGATGGAGATGGAGAATATCATGCTAAGTGAAATAAGCCAATTCCAAAAAACCAAAGGCCGAATATTTTCTCTAATATGCGGATGCTAATTTACAACAAGGCAGGGGGGCATGTAGGGAAAAATAGAAATACTGTGGATTAGAGAGAAGGGTCGGAAGGATAGTAGAATGAATCAGACATTATTACCCTATGTACATACATGATTACATGACTAGTTTGATTCCACATCACATATAATCAGAAGATTGAGAAGTTATATTCATTTATGTATGATATGTCAAAATGCATTCTATGGTCATATTATAACTAATTAGAACAAATTTTTTTAAAAAGGGAAAAAAAGGGACATTTTGAGCATAAAAAGACCTATTACTTTGATAAAAAATGAAATCATTTTCTAAAAATATCCAAATTCATAATAAAATTCTCACCTACCCAAAACAAAAGCTTATTGGTCATGCTGGAAGGTTTTGGGGTTTCAGCTCCTGATTCTAAGAACTCATAAGTAAAGTGAAAGAATCTAGCATCTATCTATTTTGCTTTTGCTGTACACTTTTTCAGAGTAACCAACTGGTCAGGGGAATTCTTGGTGGAAGAACCACAATTAGTAAATAAAGAAGAAATGATGGAATTGAAAAGCTGCCATTTTGTGATCCTTGGTGAAATTATGACTATAGGCAACAATCATCAATGACTGCTGAATCATCATCTGATGAAAGATGAGGAACTTTCTAGTGGAGAGATGGAGCTGATGACTTCTGATCAGTCTTAGCATCACCCAGGCAATGATGTCTTCCCACCAAGAGTTGAATCCATCCAGCCTCTCGCTCTAACCTCTCCAGAGGGCTAGCTCCACCTGTCCACAGAAAACATGAGGGAGGGAACATGCCAAAACCACCGCAAATACAAAATGCAGGAAATTCCAAGACATTCAACCCGGATAACTTGAACAAAGAAGGGCAACATAATAAGTCTCTAGTCTGTAACATCCCTTAAGAAATATGTCGTACACAGTAAAGGGAGCTTATTTTTAGATCCTGATTCAAACACAAGAGCTGTATATAATACAATAATTCCTCAAGGAATCAGAAGAAGAACAAGCTAAACACAAAGCTGGGTGAAGGCAGGAAATAAAAGATTAGAGCAAAGGTAAGTGAAACAAGGAATAGAGAAACTGCAAAAAATAAGAGTTGGATTTTTTTAGAGATCAATAAAACTGACACACCTTTAGCTAGATTAACCAAGAAAAATAAATAATGTCAGAAATGAAAGAGTGGCATTATAACTGATGCCATAGAAATAAAAAACATTGTAAGAGAATGCCATGAAAAGACATTTGGGGTAAGCCAGAAGATATGAATGCACTTCTAGAAACCCAAAACCTACCAAGACTGAATCATAAAACAGAAAATCGAAGAAAGCCAGGTGTGGTGGCACACATCTATAATCCCAATAACTGGAGAGACAGAGCAGGAGGAATACAAGTTCAAGGTCAGCTTTGGCAAGTTAGTGAGATCATCAACAACTAAGCAAGACCTGCTCAAAATAATAATATAAAAAGGTCTAGAGGGCTTGGGTGTGGCTCAGTGGTAGAGTGCTAGCGCAGCATGGGTGAGGCACTGGGTTCCATCCTTAGCACCACATAAAAATAAATGAATAAAAAATAAAGGCATTGTGTCCGCCTACAACTAAAAAAAAAAAAAAATTTTTTTTTAAAAAGGTCTAGAGATGTGACTCAATGGTAAAGCATCCCTAGAGTCAATCCCCAGGATAAGAGGGGGGGAAAAAGGCAATAATAGAGACCACAATTATAAAGACATGAAAGTTCTGATCATGTCTGTCTTCAGAAACTTCAAAGAACATATTCTTAATAATGGTTTGTTGTCAGATGCTATGGCACATCTGTAATCCCAGCAATTTGGGAGGCTCTGGTAGGAGGATCACAAGGAAAGCCTTTTTCAAAAGTCTTGGATGGGGGGGCTGGGGATGTGGCTCAAGCGGTAGCGCGCTCGCCTGGCATGCGTGCGACCCGGGTTCGATCCTCAGCACCACATACTAACAAAGATGTTGTGTCCGCCGAGAACTAAAAAAATAAATATTAAAAATTTCTCTCTCTCTCCTCTCTCACTCTCTCTTTAAAAAAAAAAAAAAAAAAGGCTTGGATGGGGGCTGGGGATGTGGCTCAAGTGGTATCGCCCTCGCCTGGCATGCCTGTGGCCCAGGGTTCAATCCTCAGCACCACATACAAAAAACAAAGATGTTATATCCACTGATAACTAGAAAATAAATATTTAAAAAAAAAAAAAGTCTTGGATGGATATAGCTCATTGGTGGAACACCCTTGGATTCTGTCCTCAGTACAACCCAAAAAAAAGGGGTAGTGGTGGTTGCTAACATTTCCAATGCTATCCAGTGCAGGTGTATGTGTGTGTGCAGTTAGTTGGACAGGTATACTACTAACTATAAAAAAATGAGTGTAATAATCACATCCTATCAAAAGTAGCCAAAATTCTAGCTTATGCTAAGCAAATTTTTTTCTCAATTTTGTATAATTTTATAAGAAACCAGGAAGATGATAAAGTGAAAAAGGGACTACAGGAGAGGTGAATGAATAACATTATTATGTGCCAGGCACTCCACATGTTATTTCACGTAATGCCCATGGCAGTCCTATGCATGACTTGTAACTAACTCACTATGCAGAACAGAGAACTGACAAACAGGTGAACTTTGTCCCACAGTTCAGTTCACATCCTTAACAATAATGGAGCTTATCTGCTATTCCAGAGTTATGGTTCTCTCATTACTCTACAAATTACCACTGAAAGAACTTAGAAGAAAAGTATATAATATGCTTATTTTTGCTAACAAAAATGTCAGCTACCAGCTGCCATGACAGAATGGATGGATTTTACTTACTTCAAAGAGGAATCCCCAACACCAATGCAGCCTCGTAAGCTGAGCTTCCTCAGGAATCCACCACATCGCTTCGAGATATTTTCTACCACTCGACCCTTGAATGGAGAAAATTGGAAAAAAGTATCATTTTTTCATACTGTTTATCTAATAACAAAATAACCAGAAATCTGAAAACTGAATATATGTTTCCAAGTATAACAAAATATTGTGGAACATTCCTCCAGCACTTCAGTTCTATCCCTAGTGCATAAAAGGGCTTGCAAGCATTGCAACACATTTCAGAGAAATCTGAAAAGAGCCTGTGTATGCCTTTTGAAAGTCTTAGCCCTGGGTTAGGCCTCCTCTACCCAGTGATCAATGCCACTCCATCAATCATAAGGTTCTTTGAGGTCAGTTGTGGGAACACTGGCCACTGAGCAAGATCTAAAAGTTGTTTAAAAAGAAATCCTACTTTAGCAAAAATTACCACTTTAAAAGTATAGAAATATATTTTAAAAGCTCCCTCATCCTCCTTAGCAGTTCCTTATTATAATATATTTGCTTTAAAAAAGGACCTTTTGCTGAGTACTAGCAGAGAGATCTAGGAGGCAAAAAAGAACACTGATGAAGCACCTGCAAGTATCAAGCAACAATTTCACACTTTCTTGTACTTATTATGGCTCCTTTAATGTACATATAAACCTCACGGACTACTACTACACAATAGAGGGAAGGAAGACCTATATTTGGTGTGTAGAAGATCCCTTAGGAGCCCTTAGATCCCTTGGAGATACAGCATCTTGTGATTAAAGTCAGTGGCAAACTAAAACAATCCAGGCCAAGCAGGACTATTAATGGACAAGATTCTTCAGGAATGAAGGGCTGGGTCAGAAAGACCAGGGGAACTGAGGTGTATGTGAAGGCAAAAGGAACACAGAATGAGCAGTGGGAAAGGGTCATTATTTACCCCTACCTCTGCCAATGAGGAAATGTTTAAAAAGGCCACTATTGTTTTTTTCAAACAGTATGCACACTTTGTTAAACACTAACACCAATCTTAGCACTGAGGTGTAAGCACTATGAATTCTCTAGGATGCAAACTACAAGATCATCAAAATGGGGCTCATGCACATTGTTACCTGGCTAACATCTATCTCAATTGAATTAAAAATCCAAATTTTGATACCGCTACTATGAATTATGCCTTAATTATGAGGGCAATAAGTTAATTATATTTTGAAACAAAATTCTAGACAACTGCAAAATCTTTTTCACAAGGGAAAAAAAAAGATGATGACTTGGAAATCTAATACTTAAATAGCTAACAAACAGCAAAATACTCATCAATGCCTACAAATGAAGCATTCAACATATTTTTCCCATTGCAAATTAGTTATATTTCTATAAACTTTCTAGTTTTCTTTTCTTTGGAGCAAAAGTTTTTGTACTAGAATTAAAAAATTACACAATGTTCTGCTCTGCTGTTTCCAACTAAAGGGAATAAAAGAACAAATCCTTTCCAAATACAATATTCCACACAACTTATCTACAAGACAGTATGTTGTAAGCATTCATTTTAGAATGAAGGGCTTTAGAAAAAAAAAAAAGGCCTAAAACTGGTTCAGAAGATCCTTACAGTTATGACTTTTAGATAACATACTACTTGATTCTCATTCTTGGCCATGTAGAATCTTTAATAACTATGAAGACTGATGACAAATATCCAAAATTCAAAAGCATGGAGAATGCTTAATTTCAGAGAAACTATACTTATTCAGGAAAGGGTGACACTTGACCCCTGGATGTTTTATTCTGAAACCTTTTGAGTCATGCTGGTCCCTAACCCACTATTCAAGTTACTTATAACACTCTTCTCCCCGCCCCCATATTTTCTTTTCTTTTTTTTTTTTTTTAAAGAGAGAGTGAGAGAGGAAGAGAATTTTTTAATATTTATTTTTTAGTTCTCGGCGGACACAACATCTTTGTTGGTTTGTGGTGCTGAGGATCGAACCCGGGCCTCACGCATGCCAGGCGATCGCGCTAGCGCTGAGCCACATCCCCAGCCCCCGCCCCCATATTTTCTATTAGTGCATTATAATCATACATAATGGTGATATTTGTTTCAAATTTGTACATGCACATGATACTACATAATTTGGCAAATATCGTTTCTCTTCCCTCCTCTCTCCCCACTGGTGTCTGTCTTCTATTGATCTCCCTTTGATTTTTATGAGACACCCCCGCCACACACACACTTTTCTTTTCCTTTTCCCTCTCTAGCTCCCACATATAAAACATGCAAATGACATAATTTAGAGTGGTATAGCTGGTTCATGTGGTGGTTCTGTGCATAGTTTTTTGAGGAACCTCCATACCGATTTCCATAATGATTGTACTAATTTATAATCTCACCAACAGTGTAAAAGTATTTATTTTTCTCCATATTATCTCTAGCAATTGTTATTGTTTGTATTCTTTAAAAAAAAACACTTTTTTAGTTGCAGATGGACATAGTTCCTTTATTTTATTTATTCTCATGTGGTGCTGAGAACTGAACCCAGTGTCTCATACTTGTGAGGCAAGTGCTCTGCCACTGAGCCATAATCCCAGTCCCGTATTCTTAATGGTTGCCATTCTAACTAGAGATGAAATCTCAGTTTAGTTTTGATTTGCATTTCCCTAATTGCTGATGATGTTGAACATTTTTTTATGTTTGTAGCCATCTGTATTTCTTTTGAGAAATGTCTAATTCATTTAATCATTTATTAATTGAGTTTTTTTGTGTTGAGATTTTTTGAGTTCTTTATATATTCTGAATATTAATCCTCTGTCAGAAAAGTAGATGGCAAAGACTTTCTCCCCCTCTATAGGTTCTCTCTCCACATTCTTTTTTTAAAAAATATTTATTTTTTAGTTGTAGTTGAACACAATACCTTTTTTAAATTTATTTATTGTTACATAGTGCTGAGGATTGAACCCAGGGCCCCGCATGTGCTAGGAGAGTGCTCTACCACTGAGCCAAAACCCCAGCCCACTCTCCACAGTCTTGCTTCCTTTGATGTACAGAAGGTTTTTAATTTGATGCCATCCCATTTATTAATTCTTGGCATTATTTCCCAAGCTTTCCTGAGGAGTCCTGCTGAGAAAATTATTGCTTACACCTATATGTTGGAGCATTAACCCTACATTTTCTTCAAAGGGTTGCAGTTTCTGGTCTAATTCCTACATCACTGAACTATTTTTCAGTTAACTTCTGTGCAGGGCAAGAGATAAAAATCTATTCTCATTCTTCTACACACAGATAGCCAGTTTCCCCAGCACAATTTGTCTTTTCTACAGTGTACATTTTTGGCACATTTTGTTTAGGATCAGATAATTGTACATTGTGGGATTGTCTCTGTGCCCTCTATTCTGTTCCTTTGGTTTATGTGTCTATTTTCCTGCCAGTACTATGCAGTTTTTATTACTGTTACTCTGTAGTATAATTTGAAGTCAGGTATGGTGATGCTTCCATCAGTTTTGTTGTTGTTGTTGTTTGTTTTGTTTTTTGGCTTAGAATTGCTTTGGTTATTCTTGATCTTTTATTTATTTTTCCATATGAATTTTAAGACTGCTTTTTCTAGTTCTTTGAAAAATATCATTGGTATTTTGATGGGGATTACACTGAATTGCTTTTGGTAATATGGCCATTTTAACTATATTAATTCTGCCTATCTATGAACATGGGCTGTCTTTCCATTTTCTAAGGTTTTTTTTTAAAAAAATTTATTCTTTTTAGTTATATATGACAGTAGAATGCATTTTGACACATCATACATAAATGGAGTATAACTTCTCATTTTTCTGGCTGTACATGATCTAGAGTTATATATGTACTGTAATCATATATGTACATAGGGTAATAATGTTCAATTGATTCTACTATTTCTACTCCCATATCCCCTCCCCTCCTTTCACTCCCCTCTGTCTAATCCAAAGAATTCTGAGGTCTTCTTTCTTTCTTTCTGTATTCTAAAGTTTTCATTGTAGAGGTCTTGCACCATCTTGGTTAGATTTATTCCCAAGTATTTCAGTTTTCTGAGGCTATTCTGAGTGGGATTGTTTTCCTGTTTTGGTTTTTGAAAATTAGTTCTTTGGTCACATATAACATTAGAATTCATTTTGACATAATTATAAAAGCATGGAACATAATTTGTTCTAATTCAGTCCCTAGTACTTACCCTTTCTCTTCCTTCCTCCCTCTTCCTTCTCCCTTCCCCCTACTCTACTGTTCTTTCTACTGTTTATAGCTTTTTATAGTCTTGTGGATGTACATGATGGTGAGATTCACTGTGGTATATTCATATATGTTTAGGAAAGTTGTTCAGCTTCATTCCACTGTCCCTATTCCATCCCTCCTTTCTCAACAGATTCATTATTGGTATATTCAAGAAAGCTATTGATTTTTTATAAATTGATTTTATAATCTGCTACTTTGCTGAATTTGTTTATTAACTAGTAGTCTTCTGGTGGAAGTTTTTGGATCACCTAATTATAGGATCATATCATCTGCAAACAGTGTAATTTCACTTCTTCCTTTCCTACTTTTAATCTCTTTTATCCATAAGGACACGTCTCTTTAATCTCCTCCTTTTGCCTAATTGCTCTGGCTAGAATTTCTACTACTATATTAAATAAGAGTTGGGGAGAATCGACATCCTTGTCTTGTTCCATATTTTTTTTAAAGAAATGCTTTTAGTTCTTCCCATGATGTTGGTTTTGAGTTTGTCATATGCAAGCCTTCGTGATGCTAAGGTAAGTTCCTTCTATCCCTAATTTCATCAGTTACTTTATCAAAAAAATTGATTTTTTGAAGGTTTTATCTGCATCTATTGAGATGACTGTATTATTTTTATCTGTAATTCTGTTTACGTGGTGAATTACAATTTGCCTGTTAAACCATCCTTGCAACCCTGGAATAAAACTAATTTGGTTATGATGTATAATATAATAATAATATTTCTGAATATGATTTGCTAATATTTTATTAAGGATTTTTGCATTTAAGTTCATCAGGGCTATGGTTTGTACTTTTCTTTCTTTGATATGTCATCTGGTTTGGTATGAGGGTGATACTGGTTTCTTAAATTCATCCTGTTTCATGGATTAACCTGAGGAACATTGGTATTAGTTATTCTTTAAAAGTATGGTAGAATTCAGCTAAGAATCCATTTGGTTTTGGGCCTTTCTTTGTTGGAAGGCTTTTTATTATTGTTTCTAGCTTATTGCTAGTTATTGGTCTCTAAGTTTTCTTTGTCCTCTTGATTTAATTTTGGGAGGTCACATGAATCTAGAAATATATACATTTCTTCTGTTTTCTAATATATTGGAATGTAAGTTTTCAAAATAATCCCCACTGATCCTCTGGATTTCTGCAATGTCTGTGGTGATTTTTCCATTTTCATCTCTAATTTTATTGATTTGGGTCTTCTTTTTCTTTTGGTTAATTTGGCTAAAGTTTATCAATCTTCTTTATTTTTTCAACAAACCAAATCTTCATTTCATTATTCCTTGTATTGTGTTTTTATTCTCTATTCCAATGATTTTGGCTCCAATCTTAATTATTTCTTTCCTTCTACTGGTTTTGGAATTGGTTTGTTCTTGTTTTCCAAGGGCCTTAGATGTATCATTAGGTTGATTATTTGTAATCTCTCTGATTTTCTTATGTAAGCACTCATAGCTATAAACTTTCCTCTTAGAAATGCATTCATAGTGTCTCAGAGGTTACAGTATATTGTATCACTATTCTCCTTTGATTCTAAGAATTTAAAAAATTTCTCCTCTGACTTCTTCTATAACCAATTCATCATTCAAAAGAGTATTAGTCAATCTCCATATGTTTATAGTTTCTGCAGGGTTTTTTTTTTGGCATTGATTTCTAATTTTGTTCCATTATGATAAGATACAAGGAATTATGTCTTTTTTTTTTGTAGTTGCTAAGTTGCTTTGTGGCTTAAAATGTGGTCTAGTTTAAAGAAGTTTCCATGAGTACCTGAGAAGAAAGTGAATTAAGCTGTTGTTGGGTGAAATATTCTATAGATGTCTGTTAATTCCATTTGATTTATAATACTTTTTAGGTCTGAAGAGTCTTCACTGAGTTTATGTCTGGATGACCTATTGGTGAGAGAGGTGTGTTGAAATCACCCCGTATCATTGGACTGGAGTCTATCTATGTGAGTGTTTGAGTAGTATCTGTTTATACACTTAGGTACACCAAATATTTGGGCATAAATATTTATTATTATTTTATCTTCTTGTTGGATTGTTTCCTTTACCATACTAAGTTACCATCTTTATCTTTTCTGATTAATTGTGGCTTGAAGTTTTCTTTGTTGGATATGAGAGTAGCTACTCCTGCTTGTTCTCAGGCTCCATTTGCATTGTATATCAATTCACCTTTAGCCTATGGCTGTTTTTGCCTGTGAGATGAGTCTCCTACAAACAACATATAGTTAAATCTTGCTTTCTAATCCATTCTGCCAGCCTATATCTTTTAATTGGAGAGTTGAGACTATTTACATTCATTGTTGTTATAGGGAGATGTTTATTATTCCTTGCCATATTGATTTATTTATAATGTTTAATTTGGTCTTGTATCTCATTTGCTTACCTATTTTTCACATGAGATTTGTCAATTTGTGACCTCTGGGGTTTGATTTTTTAATTTCTTCTGTGTGTAATATTTAAGTATTTTCTGTAATTGGCTTAGTAGTCATGAATTATTTTAGTTTCTGCTTAATCTGGGAAGGTTTTTATTTTGATTTTGATCTGAATGATAGCTTGCTGGGTATACCTATCTTTCAGGGCCTAGAAAACATCATTCCAAGTTCTCCTTGATTTTTAGAGTTTGTGTTGAGAAATCAAAAGTAATTCTGATTGGCTTGCCTCTAAATGCAAACTGATGTTATTCTTTTTTAAAAATATTTTTTAGTTATAGATGGATGTAGTATCTTTGTTTATTCATTTTTATGTAGTGCTGAGGATCGAAAGCAGTGCCTCACATGTGCAAGGCAAGTGCTCTGCCACTGAGCCACAACCCCAGCACATGTTTTTCTCTTGAAGGTTTAAAAATGCTATTATTGCCCTGAAGAGGTTATCCATGCTATTAACCTGCAGCTCACAATTCTCTCTTCCATTCCTATAATTCTTAAAACTTGTTTTGTTTTTGGTACTGGGGATTGAACCCAGGGTCACTTAACTACTGAGCCACACCCCCAGCCCTTTTAATATTTTATTTAGAGACAGGGTCTTGATAAGTTGCTTAGGGTCTTGCTAAATTGCTGACTGGCTTTGAACCCTCAATCCTCCTGCCTCAACCTCCAGAATCACTGGAATTACAGGCATGTGCCTCCATGCCTGGCTAAAATTTGGCTTCTTAATGTTGTCCCAGAGTTCCTTTATCTTCTGGTCATGGTTACTTATTTTATTTTATTATTGCCTGAATGTTCAAGGCTAGCCACTTCATTATAGCTCTGAGATTCTGTCTTTATCTTAGTGTACTCTATAACAGACTTTCAACTGAATATTTTATTTGATGTATTATGCTTTCATTTCTGAGATTTCTGTTTAGTTCTTTTTCAATATTTCTATCTCCAATTGAATTTCTTATTTCATATTCTGCACTGACTTCTTGAATTTATTCAGTTGTTTTGCTGTGTTCTCTTGGAATTCACAGACCATTTCTACAATGCTTTTTTAATTCTTCATCCAATGTCTTTGGAGTCAGCTGTTGGTGAATTATGATATTTAGGAAGAGTCATGTTACCTGTTTTTTCATATTTCTTGTATTCCTATGTTGAGTTTATACATTTGTTTGGGATGGATTTACCTTCCACTCTTACATATGGTCCTTTTGGGGACACAGTCTTTGTTTGACAAATCCTACATTCTTTAATAGGTGAGTGACCTTAATAAGTTACTCTACTTTTCTGTGCCTCAGTTTCTTCAATATGGTGTTTTTAAGAGGATCAAATGTAGTAGGATATGTAAAGTTCTTAGAACAGTGCCTAGCACACAGTAAGGAGTATTAATGAGTTCATGCTGATCCTTGGCATTTTCCTTCTTCCCTCAACTTACCCATAAGGACACATCTTTGAGACCATCTCTTATTCAAAGAATGCTTCCTAGGCTGAGTATACAGATGTTTAAAGACTATGAGAAGATCATAGTCTTGGTTCATAATTCAACTTGGATTTAAGGTGCCAGCCCCAAAGGGAAACAAATGATATGAAACTAGACTGAAACTCTGATGCCAGCTAGTTCAGATTTTCACATGTAACTGTTAACACAACTAGCAAACCATAAACCTGTCTCCCCTTTACTGCACATATTCTTAAGTATTTCCATTATGAAAATACTAAAATTCTTCAATCAAGGTAGTAACATTTAATTGAAACTATATTTTATAATATCTAAATTTAAAAGTTCTTAGTGTGCTTTCCAAAAAGTTGTATAGTTTGGGAAAATCACCTAAACTGAGGAGATACTAAGCACTATGGAAAAATACTTTGCCAAATTCTTTCAAAATAATTTTTTAAATATATTTTTTTAGTTGTCAATGGATATTTATTTATGTATATGTGGTGCTGAGAATTAAACCCTATGCCTCACACATGCTAGGCAAGCACCTCACCACTGAGCCATAACCCCAGCCCAACAATGACTCTCATGACCAGCTAAAAATGACATTTTGAGAATTTACCATTCTTTTCAACATCACTAAGTAAACACAATAAACAAAGATTTGGAGATTATCAATTTGAAGAGGAATTACACTGGTATGGAATGCTAGCAAATTTGGGTTGGGCACTTGTGATAATTTACGTCTGGAAAGAACATTAATGAACACTTACTTTAAGGACAACATTCTAAACCAGTAACTAGAACTTATTTTTTCCAGATGGACATGAATCCCTGAGGTTCCTGCCCCTTTCCAAGCTCAGAGCATGATAATATGTGAGGAACCATGGGGTTCTAAAACCAACTGTGAAAAATCCTGTGCTCTGCCCCATTTGCTGAGGTTACTGCTCCACTGGTTTAAAATGGGAGCCAAAGGCTGTCAAACAGCAAGTAACCTAGAGAAGGAGGAAAGGAGCCAGCCACAGTGGCGCAAACCTGTAATCCCAGTGATTCAGGAGGTAAGGTAGGAGAATCATAGATTGAAGGCCAGTCTGAAAAACTTAACTGAGACTCTGAAATAAAAGGACATGAGATGCAGCTCAGTGATAGAGCACTCTTGGCTCATTCCCCAGTTCTGGGAGTCGGGGAGGGGAAGAGAAGATATGGGGGAGGAGTAAAGGGCCTATAATTGGCCATAAGCTCTTCCAACAAGTAACTAGCAGGAAATTGCTTCATTGTTAAACATAATAATTTCCTTACCCATTAAAGCACAAACACCTTGGTAAGACACTCTGAGAACCTTTAACATGAGTGAAGTAATTTAAGATGCAATTCCACTATTGTTACTGAATTGTTTAAAATGAAAATAAGTAAGGTTTTACTAACATTAAGTAGACAATAAAATTAAGTATCTTAAGACTCTCAGACCAGCACCCAAGATAATTACTTTGTGCAATGCTCTGTATTAATCCACCCCCCCTACTATTTGGTTAGAAATTTGATATTTTAAATTAAAATTACTTTAAAATGATTTCCTCATGTAATCAGGTTTAATACCCTTAAATAGAGATTTTTTTGGATTTCCACATAAATATGTAGAATCTGGAATTTTATTTATATTTATATATGTATATTACACACACATGTAATATATTCAGTGTATGTATTTATGTATGCTATACAAACACACACTCCCCCAGCCCCCAGCCAGTGCTGGGGCCTACACCTAGGGCCTTGTTTTAGGCAAGTACTCTACCACTGAGCCATACCCCACCCTGGCATTACAAAAAGCTTTAAAATTACTTATTTATCTTACAGATAATAAAACAGAGGCACTGAGATTATATGACTAAGTGCCAGAGCTGAAGGGACACTTCAGAAGTCAGCCTCACTCTCTGGCTTTTGTTCCTGCCCTTTCTCCATTCTTAATGCTGAATTACTATTCCCAGTAGATCTTTCAGATGAAGCTTCCTAAGGTTAAAGCACTAAACCAGGTGTTAAGGATGCAGGCGTGGCACTTTAAAAAGCTGAGAGTAATAGATTATAAACATGATTCAGGGGGAAAAGCAATCTGTTACTGATAAAGAACAAAAGTAAAACACAGTGGAATTTTGGTCTTCATGTATGCACATATCTTCCAAGTTTTGTTTTTCTGTCTCTCTCTTCTAAATGCTGCAAAATAAAAAAACAGAAAAGAGGAAACTGTTTGTTTATCTTTAAAAAAGTCTTCTGTCTAAACCAAAGTTAACTAACTTACCTCTACGTCTGTTTGAAAGTTAAAAAGATCTATTCTTTGCCAGTTGCTTCCATCCAGGGCTAAGATGTTCCAAGCCTGGGAGATAGGTAGTAAAAGAAGAGGGATAGGGGTGAAAGATTCATTTATTGAGAAATAAATTAAAGAGGGTCTTGACACAAACTTTCTATTTCCAAACTTTAATTCTCAATGTATCAAGTTAATAAAACAAATATTAAATTATGATTATATTAAATGAGATAAATTTTAATTTAATGGCTTATTTGAACTAAAATTCATCTTTAGACTAATGAAACCTAACCTGATATTTATTGATTAAAAATCTAGTGAACACTCTACCTTGGAAATCTGTGCACATCGGCACAAAGTTACTATGTCCAAGAAGGAAAATATTCTGAAAAAAAAAAACAAACAGGAAAACACAAAATGAGATAGTGTTAACATTGTAGAATAATTACACTGTGAAAAATAAAATTTAATGCATTTTCTGGATATGTACATTTTTCAAGATTCTTCAATTTGCAACACACAAGTACACAACAATTTTACATCCCTACTGTGAAATATTAAATGATTACATGCTCCTAAGCTGCTTCAGACACCTATACAAATTCTCTTAAAACAGAATTCATTAAACGTTTATTTCCCTTATTCTCAGAAATGAACATGAGAAAGTAGACCCTAACTAGTTCTATTCAAGAGCCAGCTTGCTCATTTCCCAGGAAGCGAACCTGGTGATAACTAAATCCTTCTAATTCTAATGCCCCTGACACACAGCACAAACCCTTCTTTAGGCGGTAGGTGCACCAAATAGGCTCAGATGTTTGAGCCTCAAACAACATGGCTCCCAAAAGCTAAATGATAAAATCCATTTGGTTTGATGTATTTGTTCACCATTTGGCAGAAAGATGGAGCTCATTAGTTCAAACAGTCTATAAGTGACCAGTTTTCCTGAGCAAAAGTCAAGAAGCCACGGGCGGTAGGGGGAGCAAAGAGAAGCAAACAAAAACAGGCTGACTTCTATAAAGCGTCTTAGAGGAAGCAGTAGCTGCCAGTGTGCAGGGGCCTGAGTGAGGTCCTGACATTCTGGCAGTAGAGAGGAGCTGCTGATGACAGCAGAGTGGACAAACAGTGTATGCACTGAAGTGCCACCAAGTGCCTGTTGGAAACACAGTGGGGCCAATTTTGTGCGTCGATTTTGGTAGTCGTGAAAGGTAAGTAAGCATCTATGCCATGTGTGTGGAAGGGGGAGAAAGAGGAGATGGCAAAAGGCCAACTATAAGGTTCCTAAATATTTTTCAAAGGAAAAATCAGTGGTGAGTTAAAAAGTTTATGGACTCAGGGATGAATAGCAAAATCCCGGAATGCCAGAGCACTGTTTGCTACAAGATGCACCCACAAGCAGCACATGGGACTAGAGACTGCACAGATGTCATTCTACAATAAAAGCTTTAGCAAAAAGTAAGAGACAGAGGCATAAAAAAGGCTGCATTAATCTCTAAAGATTAGTGGATTTCTGTACAGAAGAAAATGCTGGTGACTAAAATACGTATACTTAAATATTTATATTAAGTGTATTCCAGGTATCTATAATCATCCATTGACTATGGGAATACATCCTGTCCAATCCACAGGCTCTCCTACCCCCAAAAGCCATCTTCCATGTCATATGACCATTCCACAAGCAGCCACAACTGTCAATCCCTAAAAAACTAACCACCAGGTACAGTAAAACCACATTTCATGACAGGCTGGATTCTAAAGAATAAGATGAAAGTGGAAAAGGAGTTAGCCAAGTTTCCCTTGTAATTAATTAAAAATGTACCACCTTGGAGGACTCTATCCTTTACCAACTCTTGGTAATAATAATAATAGTTAAAATTGTTTTTGCATTATGTGCCATCCATAGTTTATCTTAGTCATTATTTGACAAAATGATGTTACAAGGTGTATACTACTATAACCTTCATTTTACAGATAAGGACACTGAGCCCAATGAGATTAAATTATCTGACCAAGCCACACAAGATAGGGTGGAGCTAGGAGTTGAACTCAACTGGTCTGGCTGGCTACAGGGTCCAAATCCATGATTTTGGAAAGTTTAACCCCCAGGATTTTATTTTATTTTAACCCCAGGATTGGACTAGATGCTATTTCTTCAAATGTGATGACCCAATGAAATAGTTTTCATTCAGTGAGCTGGAGACACACAGGAACTAAGAAGTGGAACAGAAATTAATATTTCTCATCTTATGTTTACTACTCCGTGTTATGGTTACTGAATGAAAAAGTACATTGCCTGAAGTATTTATATTATCCCCCCATACACCTTTAAGCTGAAAGCAATTGAATTTATACAAATAGGCATGATGAAACTCAAATTGCCAAAATGTAGACTGAGCCAATTCCAGACTCTCATTTTGATGAACAAATGTAATACTCTGAATTACAAAACCAGGGATACTAGTAATAGAAACAGCTAAAGGAATAGGAAACAATTCTGGCCCCTCTGAAACATCTTTTTCATGGAAATTGCTTCCTACTCAAATGTAATAATCATGTCTTCACAAGGTAAGCATTGCCATAGCACCCATGGGCTTCATATTTTGTTCCACAAGTCTATCTTTGCATTAGTAAAGTCCTATTTTAATTAATATAACTTTTTTTGATATTTATTTTTTAGTTACAGGTGGACACAATATCTTTTTTTTTTTTTTTAATGTGCTACTGAAGATCGAACCCAGTGTCTCATGCATGCCAGGCAAGCGCTCTACCTCTGGGCCACAACCCCAGCCCATCTTTATATCTTTTTTGGTCAGACATCTATTTAGATATTTTGCCCATTTAAAAAATTGGATTGTTTTCTTACTACAAATTTTAAGAATATGCTGGACACTAGTTCTTAATTAAATAGGTTTGATAAATATATTATTCCTGTCTGTGGTTTACCCTTTCATTCTCTTAACAATGTCTTTGTATGAGAGGTTTTGGTTTGTTGTTTAGGCAATGGGGATTCAACACAGAGGTGCTTTCCACTGAGCCACATCCCCAGCCCTTTTTCTTATTTATTTTTTGAGACAGCGTCTCAGTTGTTTAGAACCTCAGTAAGTTCCTAAGGCTGGCCTCAAACTAACCTCAGCCTCCTGAGTTGCTGGGATTACAAGTATGTGCCACTGGACCCAGCCTTAACAAAGTTCAACTTATATTTTCTTTCATGAGCTGAGTTTTTGATGTTGTATCTAAAAATTCACTGCCAAATCCAAGGTCATTTGGACTATGTCCTATGTTTTCTTCTAGCAGTTTTACTTTACTTTTAGATACGAACACCATTTTGAGTTGGATTTTATGAAAGGTACAAGGTTTGTCTACATGGAGTTTTTCTTTTTTCTTTTTGCATATAGATGCCCAATTGTTCTAACACCATTTGTTTAAAAACATTTCTCCATTGAATTCATTTTGCTCCTTTGTCAAAGATAAGTTGGATATATTTTGTGACTCATTTCTTACTCTATTCTGTACCAATGATCCATCTGTCTATTTTTGTAACAATGCCACTCCTTGATTTACTGTAGCTACTATCAAGTCTTAAAGTCAATTAACTTTAAGTAAAGCTTCCTCTGCTTTCTTTCAGTATTTTGCAGTGGCTTTTCTGGGTCTTTTCATTTTCCACATTAACTTTGGAATCAGTCTATCAGTATTTACAAAATAACTTGGTAGTATGTTGACTGGGATTGGGGTGAATCTATAGACCATCTTGAGAAAAATTAACATCTTAACAATATTGAATCTTCCTATCCATGAAAATATAATACCTCTTCATTTGATTTCATTGGTTAATTTATTTTTACTGGTATCATTGATTTATTAGAGTTTTGTGGTTTTCCTCATAGATCTTATAAAATTTTGCTAAGAGTTGTACTTAGGTATTTCACTCTGGATAGTCATATAAATAACTTTTAAACTTTAAATTCTAGTAATCTACTATTGGTAATATAGGAAAGTATATACTTGTGCATAATTTTGTGTCCTATAACTTTGATATAATTGCTTATTAGTTACAAGAGTGAGTTTGTACTTTTGATAAAGAAACAAGATCATTAGTATTGTAGTTTCTGAGAGTCTGGATTTTACTGATTGTACCCTTGTTAATGTGCACAACATTCCTCTAGCCTTTGGATTTCCTGTAAATTGATAATTGGATAATACTGATCAGTTTCAGATTTGACTTATATGTTTAAAAAAGACTTCTTTATAAATGACATGCTTTTCATCAGGAGGCACATATTTAGTTATTTCTCCTTTAATGATAGGAAGCACTGATGCTCAAGGCCTAGATTTATTTACTCTCTGAGGATATTAAAAGGGTGACATTCTGTTCATTCTTTTTGTATTTATTAGCTGGAGAACCTCAATAAGAGAAATATTATCAATTGGATGCAATAGTGCACACCTGTAATCCCAGCAATTTGTGAGGCTGAAGCAGGAGGATCTCAAGCTGGAGGATAGCTTGGGCAATTCAGCAAGACCCTGTCTCAAAATTAAAAAGTGGGGAATGAGGAACTGGGGATGTAGCTCAGTAGCAAAGTGCCCCTGGGTAGTAAAAGCAATTTAAATATTTTATTCTTTATCAAAATGACCATTTTGGCCAGTGGGAATTTCTTTGATTTGAATCCTGAGTACTCTGACACAGTACTTTCTTTCAGTTTACTTGGTGTCCTAACATCTCATACATAAGCCTCCAACCTAGAATCACCATTTCTTCAAGAAGCTCTGGTTTCTTTCTGTGTATAACAATATTTTAAAATTTTATTTCTCTATGGAACTGCTCACCCTCTGTGAACTCTGTACACCATTGGCCTTTGTAGCATAATCTGGATGCTAAGTATGCACAATGAGACCAAATTGGTAATTACAGTGAGGTATTTTCAATGGCCAGATCTGAAATATGTATACATCTACATTATTTTCTATTGGGGTATAAGACACATCTGTTAAATTGTACGAATCCTAGGTGTAAAAATGTACACAAATACTCAGGAAAACACTTCCCCACTCATGATATAGAATATGTTCAACCTTAGAAGTTTCCCTTTGGACCCTTTATATGCCCGCAGAAGTAAACAAAATACACCCTAAACACTTTTTTAAAAAAATATATTTTTAGTTGTACATGGACACAATACCTTTATTTTATTTATTTTTACATGGTGCTAAGGATTAACCCAGTGCCTCACACATGCTAGGCAAGCATTCTATCACTGAGCTACAACTCCAGCCCCTCTTCTAACTTTTATCAAAGATTTACCTGATGTTGCATTATACATAAATGGAATCAAACCCTACGTGGTTTTTGATTTTCCCTTTCTTTCTCTTAAGATTGTTATTTATTTTATT